TACATATTTTAATAATATCAAGAATTACCTTCAGGCTCAATTTGTATCTGGTCGAGGCTCTTTCCTTCGAATTCCGTCACTCTTCCCTGCTCCATGGCCATCAACACTTTGCTGATTTTGGCCAGCTCCAGTGTCCCCTCTGGTAGTCTGTAATATTGTCTGTGGATGCGAATGTCATGGCCGAGGAAGTTGGCTAGTATGTCCATCTCATTCTCTTTCATATTGAGAACTGTAGACATAGTAGCTATGTGCTTTCTAAGTTTGGTTGAGGATAGCATCTCTGGATGCACCGCACCACATTCTTTGGCTACCTGGCGTAGGGAGTCTGATCCCCTGATGTGGGTGTCTGCGCCCGGGCGGGAAAAGAAGTATGGGTTATGGTCAGAGATGGAACAGGCCCTTCTGTTCTCCACCAGCACCTCCATCGAAGCAATCATTTCAGGAATCAAAAGAACCGGCACTTTCCGACTTCTTTTCCCTTTAATTTCAATGCGTTGAAAATGCTGACACAGATTTTTCTCAAGTTGGGACAGTCCCAGAGCAATGTCAGAATGGATCCCAGTCTTACTTCTTAAGGTAAAGGCTGTCAGTGGCATCTTTGAAACCTCACCTTCCCTTCTTCGATTGAAAATAATGACCTCACAAAGAGTCAAAACTGCCAGTTTAGACCAATGCTTAGACGTTGGCTCACTTATTAGGGTTTGCACATATTCAGGTCGACATACCTCAATATGTGCATGCATGGCTCTAACGTCCTCAGTCAGAGGGAGCAGGTCCGGAGTGTTCCACTTGGCTTGCCGGAGGGTCTGTAGGGCAGCAGAAGAAACACAGACGTCCCACCTCTTCTCAAAAAGCAGCCGGCTTCGTTGGAGGTTTTTAATAAATAGTTCATCAACACAATGCTCCATTTTTGAGTCACATTCAAGAATATCTGCTAGCTTTCTGAGGCTATGGCCGAGTTTGAGGGCCAAGGATGGAGTCTTGTATTGATTTGTTTCCTCATCATATCCAGCCACAGACCTGACTGCATCAATCACATGGTTAAAGTTGGAAGGAATAAAGAAATCCTTCATTGTTTTCAGTTTCCCTGCGGTTTTTGCTTCGTTAATTAACCTACCGACTTCTCTCATTTTCTGCCTAATGTAATCATGCTTAGTCTTATCATGCCCGTGTTTTAAGTACATGTGCTCTCCGAGTCTCAGAATCCCCTTTTCTGCTTTGACAACATCCGTGACCTCATCCTGATGCATTGCCCAAATTAAAGACCACAGCTTTTTGCTGATGCCCTCCGGTACAGGCTGGGCTAGGGAGCAGAGGGACTGGACCCTACTTCTACCTGGTTTAGCCTGGTTTAGCCTGGGCATCTTTCTGTGAAAGCCGGCACCTGGTCACATGCCTCCACAGCGACTTTCGCTTAAGCAATGCCCCACAGTCTATACAGTGCAAAAACTCACTGGATTTAACTGGGCAATTTGGCTGTTTAGCTGGGACTAAAGTTCCAATGCCGGCCTTTAAAACCTCAAAATTGTGCTCACGGTTTCCACTATTCCTGATCAAATCAAACTGAAGTTTACGTGCTTTAGATTTCACAGGTAGAGCCAATGCTCTGGCTACGTCACTTTCATTTCCATGTTTTCTAGTCAAATGACGGGACATTTTGTGGCAGGACATTGAACAGTAGAGGCAGAAGTGTCTCTTGCTGTAAACTCGCCCCCCATTTTTCTTCTTTTGCAGCTGCATGATAACAATTTATTTGCCTTTGGTTCGTCACTTTCCGAGTCTTGAAGAAAAGTGTTTTTGATTTTTCTTTTTCCATACTTTTTTACAGGTTTCTTCTTGACAGTTAAATCGTCAGAATCTGAGTCGACTTCATCAATTAGGGACTCTTGACTAAGCTGCACAAACAACAAATAATTTGTAATCATTCTATATAACAATTTGAAGTCATGACTTGTAGTCAGCACTTACCAGTGGTTTGTAAGCGTGCGCTTCAGTGTGCTCCTCCATGATTTCTTGCAGCCTAATGAACCACACACTTGCACCTTTTCTAGCCTGACACCTGATTTCCTCTGTTGTGCTGCTCCATGATTGGCTCCAGCCTCTGTTGTGCTGCTCCATGATTGGCTCCAGCCTGCTGGACTGAAATTGCCCCAGTGTGCCCCTCCTTGATATCCCGCAACCCACCACCAGGGTTCCGACACATAACACTCTTTTTTCAGGAAAGTAAACCTCCAGGGGTCCTTTCTATATTTTTACAGAGACTGCATAAGGACCGTTAGAAAAGCATTACCCATTGATTATTAAGCTTGAACCAGTGGGGTCCGGTGTTCGGGCCCCACCACGTAAAACCAGTCCCCATGACGTGAGTGGAATCTCAGGTTATGGAACCCACCAGGAGTTGAA